GAGAGAGCGCGCCACTGACGCAAGAGCAGGTACCGTAAGAGCAAGGTGAAATCACTATGCGATACACCGTGTGACGGCGGAATCCTCCAGTCATAACCACGTAGGTCTATCCAACGCTATTTACCTATAACCACCATGATGGCACTTTCATAGCCGGCCGAGTCTCCGCATTAGGGCAGTACAGAAGAGGTATCTGCAAGTACCAGCTGGCCCGTGCATTTGTGGTGTCATAGTCGATCCTTCGCTGAAGAACCTTTCGGAACTTCCCGCTTCGCTTTAGGAGTTCCTCCAGGCAAAAGGAAGCTTTCGGAACTTCGCTTCGCTTTAAAGTTCCTCCAGGCACTTCGCATCGCTTTACAGGAGGGACCGTGCCGACGGGCAGCCCGCCGAAGGAAGCCTGGAGGAACTTTTCTGGTGTTGTTCTGGTGTTGTTCTGGTGTTGTTCTGGTGTTGTTCTGGTGTTGTTCTGGTGTTGTTCTGGAGGGAGACAGGCGGACCATGCGATCTGGGTCGCGCAAAGCCGCCACAAGCCGCTATACCGTTTCCTGCCGATATGCGGGTCCGATAAGTCTATCTTATCTAAGCGTCAGCGGAGCAGCCAATCGGAAACCAGGCTAGCTCCGATGCGGCTGAATGTTAGGCACCGACCGATCCATGTTCAACTGCTTCTTCCCCCACCTCCTTGAACATCAGGTGATTCCCTAGGAAAACATACCTGATCAACTCTCTGTTGCTCCATGCGACACATTTCCCTTTACTTAGCCGGCCTATACTTTCCACCTACTACCATGTCGCCGTACCCCCCTTTGCCGAAGGGCTGTGTGCGGCTTCTTCGACTCTTGCCACCTGCAGGCGACAAGTCCCGCATAGAATGTCAGCTCATCACCTGCTCTCTGTTTGACTCGAGAAGGACACATTCCTACGAGGCCCTATCCTATGTATGGGGACCGGAGAAGAGCAAAAAGCCCATCTGGATAAATGGCAATGAGCTCTCCGTTAGGGCAAACCTTCATACCGCACTCTCACATCTTCGTGATTGTTTTGTGGAAAGGATCCTGTGGATAGATGCCATTTGCATCAACCAAGAAGATGACATAGAAAAGGGACATCAAGTTGAGTCCATGGCGAAGATCTATACCCAAGCAAGTCGCGTGATTGTCTGGCTTGGAGAGGCAGCGGACGACAGCAATCATGCGCTTCAAACAATACGCAGGGCTGCCGAAGAGCAGGATGCCAATTTTTGGAACCACAAAACCCGCCAGCTCATCAATTCCAAAATCAACAACGTGAACCAGCAGGCAGTCCTTACACTACTTGAGCGGGAATGGTTCCAGCGTATCTGGGTAAGCAGCAGACATTCAGCAACATATAAATGAGTTACTGACATACTTGGTTTAGGTCCTTCAGGAGGTGGCTGCAGCTAGACATGTCTTGGTCAAGTGTGGTCATGCGGAGATTGATGGGTATGCGTTCTGCTTAGGCCTAAGCGTACTACGCCTGTCCTACGAAAAGCGCCCGCATTTACAAAGCCTGATTCCTCCGATCGCCTATCTCATAAGAGGCGCAGTATTTCGACCAAGATACGAGGGAGACGAGATCAGTCGACAAGACAAGTACTCCTTAAACATACGCCCTCTATATGAGCTGGTAGATATGTACCACACCCACAAGGCTACCTTCCTTCTCGACAAGGTTTATGCCTTGCTTGGCATGAGTAACGACGACCCTTACCCAGCAGGGTTAGTACCCGATTACAAAGCCGCATGGAAAGATGTCTTTCGAGAACTTGTCCAATTCTGCCTCTCCGATCAGATATCTGTCAACACTTGGGACCGAGCGGAGGCGGCGGTTATTGAAGCGAAAGGGTATATTCTTGGCGAAGTACTCTCAGTCGGAGAGGATGCTGCTGAGCATGACAGACAGAACCAGGATGCTACTTGGCGCGACAGACAGCAAGTGGACATTGCTTGGAGAAACGCACCAAGCTATGTCGATACGGAAGAGAAACAGAACTGTCGTCTCACCTTCCAAGCCTCAGCAAAGGCTGTCAAAGAGGGGGATATCATCTGTCTTCTGCAAGGAGCATCAAGGCCTACAATTATCAGGCTATGCGACGATTTTTCGACTATTATCATCATTGCGTTTTCCCTGGCAGACGATCTGCAGAAGTGGTCAGCCTCGGTAACAACCTTCCCAACCGATTTGCTGCTGGTTTGGGACTGGAATGAATCTCAAAGAGAGTCACCAGGTGGAGAAGACTATGGAAAATTAATCAGCAGTCGGGAAGTGGCTAAATGTCAAGTGGCAAAGTGTCAGTGTTTACATGATCTGGACAAACTAAACAGAATATGCAATTTCGGACTGTTACTGAACAGAACGGAAAGATATGAAAAGGCGATAAAGAATCTCCGAAAAGCTGTGGAGGTTTACGGGACTAGGGAAGGATTAGGAAATATCGATAAAGCTGACTTAGGCCACGGCTTTTGGAGGGAGGCAGATAAGGAGGTACTGAGGATAATGGAAGATCTACTTATCGACAATAAGGGTGCTGATATGGAGGGAAAATATAAGGAGCTCGGCCAGACACCACTGTCGTGGGCGGCCGAGAACGGCCACAAGGCGGTGGTGCGGCTGTTGCTCGAGAAGGGTGCCGATATAGAGGCGAAGGATAACTATGGCCAGACACTGTTATTCGGGGCGGCTAAAAACGGCCACAAGGCGGTGGTACAGCTGTTACTTAAGAAGGGTGCCGATATAGAGGCGAAGGATAACTATGGCCAGACACTGCTATTCGGGGCGGCTAAAAACGGCCACAAGGCAGTAATACAGCTGTTACTTGAGAAGGGTGTTGATATAGAGGCGAAGCATAACTATAGCCGGACACTGCTGTTCGGGGCGGCTAAAAACGGCCACAAGGCGGTGGTGCAGCTGTTACTCGAGAAGGGTGCTGATATAAAGGCAAAGGATAACTTTGGCCAGACGCCGCTGTTCGGGGCGGCTAAAAACGGCCATAAGGCGGTAATACAGCTGTTACTTAAGAAGGGTGCTAATATAAAGGCGAAAGATAACATTGGCCAGACACCGCTATTTAAGGCGGCTGTAAACAGCCATAAAGCGGTGGTGCAGCTGTTACTTGAGAAAGGTGCTAATATAAAGGCAAAGGATAATATTAACTAGACACCGCTATTTAAGGCGGCTAAAAGCGGCCACAAGGCGGTGGTGCGGCTGTTACTTAAAAAGGGTGCTGATATAAAGGCGGAGGATAACAATGGCCGGACACCGTTATTCGCGGCGGCTGAGAGCGGCCACGAGGCAGTGGTGCGGCTGTTACTTAAGAAGGGTACTGATATAAAGGCGGAGGATAACAATGGCTGGACACCACTATTCTAGGCGGCTAAGAGCGGCCATAAGGCGGTGGTGCAGCTGTTGCTTGAAAAGGGTGCTGATATAAAGGTAAAGGATAACAATAGCTGGACACCGCTATTCTAGGCGGCTGAGAGCGGCCACAAGGCGGTGGTGCAGCTGTTGCTCGAAAAGGGTGCCGATATAGAGGCGAAGGATAACAATGGCTCGACACCGCTATTCGGGGCGGTTCACAGCGGCCACAAGGCGGTGGTGCAGCTGTTGCTCGAAAAGGGTGCCGATATAAAGGCGGAGGATAACAATGGCTGGACACCGCTATTCTTGGCGGCTGACATGGGCCACAAGGCGGTGGTGCGGCTGTTGAAATAAGTTTTATAATAGCTTAACCTCCTCCCCACCCACCACCTATTCTCAGGCCCTTATTATATACTTCTTATCTGTGGCAAATAATTGTGTCATGATTACTAAATTTCCAAGGGATTGTGTCACGGCACATGGCGCCTTTGAGGCTACATGACGTCATACGGCGCGTGGCGCATGAACTATAGCTCAACGCACCACATCTTTCTACTCCTCCGCCGGGGTTACAATTGTTAGCTCGGTTTCTTGACCGGGGGTGTGGTAGGGGTCAGGGCTTCAAGAGGTCAGATCTGTGTTCTTGTTGCTGTGTTAGGGAGTGAATGAGAAATGGGTTCGTTCTGGTAGAACCTTGGAGATGTTTTGCAATCTTGAGAAATAGCTGTTTTGGTGGCCAGAATCGCTTTTGCGTGGCCAGTGCGTCAGGTACCCAGCTAACAATTGTAATCCCGGCAGAGGAGTAGATTAGACTCCGGCTCGCAGGCGTGTCTTTCCTCCTGCAAGCCTTTCATTCTCTACAATACAACACCTTTCCACCACCGCTTGTGGCGCCGTGACAAATTGCTTATGTAACGTAATATGCAGCTAATTTTGCCATATATGGTTACTTAAATAAATGTTACTCGGGTTTGCATAGCGATATGGATGTCGATTTCAAAAGTTTTGTCGCCTCGTTTATAGCATAAATTTGAGGACCGTGCACCCATTACTGTCAGAAACACTGCACCCTAGTTTGTGTGGAAATGATGGCAATTGAATAATTCAGCCAGAACCTCAAGACGGAGAAAAATCAGAAAATTATAAACCAACTCAATTGCCATCATTTCCACACCATCCAGGATGCAGTGTTTCTGACAACTCCATCGTCTTTCGGCAGGAAGTCATTCTCCCATCCCAGACACACCAAGCCATGCTGCAGGAAAAGCTCAGGGAGGCAACGGCGGATATCGAAGCCTACGCCAAGAGCACAGGTCAATTCACGGATTGGTTGCACATCAAATATGCGAACTCGGAACAGAACCCCCTTGCCAAGTACGGAGCTGATAATGGCGAGTTCTTGTACTCAACCGCGAAGAAGTATGATGCGTCGGAGGTATTTCTAGATCTCGGTCGCTGGTGTGTTCAAGCTCTCGGATTTGGAGTAAGATGCAGACCAGGATAGGAAATGTGAGATAATTCTCCCTCATCTGTATGCCCTGCAGAGTCAAATATGAACGTCTTGTGCATTACCGAGTTATTCAGGGGCAAAAAGCAACATGGCCCAAAAAAATACGGTGCATCTCTCCCGCCGGGAATTGAACCCGGGTCTCGAGCGAAGTCGGGTGGTGACAAGCTCACATACTGACCACTATACTACGGAAGAATTGTGGATGTGTTCATCCACCGTAGCGAGCTGTGGGAGCTTGGCTCCGGGAGGGTGCTTAAAAAGGCCAGGCCCTTTCCTTGCAGCGGTCTCAATTTAAGATGGAAGCTCTGGCTAATCATTTTCCCATTGACCATGTATCCGTCCTAGCCAAACCCGAGCTGGAGTTAGAGCTTGTCTGTGTTGTTGAAGATCAGCAAGGCGCTATCTTGCATACCGATCGACATGCATGACTCGGAGTTTCAGGAGTTTTCATGACGTCGTTAACTTGTGACGCTGCTGTGCAACGATGGATTACTAACCTTACTCAGCGCGGGGTCAAAGTTTCCCCTTTGGGCATACAATTGACGTATAAGTACAGCCAAGCGGTAGGGCTATGGGCTATTGAGGTTAGGTTGTTATCGTCGTACCCGCGTCACATCGGTATTCGCAAAAAATCACTAGTTATATACGGCTGGGACTCATCTACACGGGAGATGATGGCTTCTGGTACCGCTGACAACATTCCGCTCGCCGGCCTCGCCCGAGACGGTTGGTCCAAGGACGGCAAGGCAACAGCCACCTGCTACTGTGGCGCCGTGCAGCTTGTTGTAGTAAGCCTAACGGTCCATCCCAGCCAAATTCCAACGCTAATTAACCACCCGCTAAAGTCGCTCGACGGCGTCGTCAACACCTTCGTCTGCAACTGCACCGACTGCCGCAAGATCACGGCGTCCATGTTCGCCAGCAACTTCACCGTCAAGAACTCGCACTTTGAGCACGCCCGCGGAAAGGACCGTCTCAAGACGTTTAGCCAGTCACAGACGATCGCTTCGGGCAAGGCCATGACCAATTACTTTTGCGAAAACTGCGGTACGCTCATGTACCGTGTCGGCGAGCGCTTCAGCGGCGTCAGCATCCTGCGCATTGGCACCGTCGACGACTTCTCGTTGCATGAGACCACACTCCGTCTACGCCAGGAGCTTTGGACAAAGGACCGTGTCTGCTGGTTTACCGGAGTCCAAGGGGTTGAGGAGACTTTTGATGCCCAGGGTAAGGGTGAGCACGCCAAAAAGCCTTTCAATTTATAGAGGCGCAAGATGAAGCTTTAGAAAAGGCTGGTGGCGAAATTCAGATATTATTGGACAAAAGTCAATTGTTGCTGGCGGTAGCTTCTGCAGGCACAGACCTCATGCATTGATCTTCGTGATAATGGCTGCAGCGGATGGTGCGCTGAAACGGCGCCAGTGATGTTCGATTGGCTGGGGAGTCAAAGTGGTTGCAGGGGTGGCTTGCGGTCTAGACTCGCTGAAATAAACTTGCATGGGCGACCAGTGGCACATTAGTAAAGCACCTTCCTCCCAAGTCATCGCACACGGGAATTCGCTCCTCCTCCTATTGAACCAATTTCATGCTGCTGTCCCGACTCGGGTTAGCCAATCCATCCGCAACCCAATATGTACAACTTTGCGCAAACCCTAGAGCAGCTCAATGAGCTGCAATCACCCACCTCATTCGTGTACCACCCGCTGAGAAATGCAAATTCCCTCATTCTCCCCATATTGAAGCCCAAGAAGCCAGACTCGGCATGGAAACCCCAATCCTACCCGTACCTGCCCTTACCAAGCAGAACCTCAATCCGCGTCATTTCTGTTCTGCCAAGCGAGGTTACGACAACGTCAATCGAAGAAGACGCAGCCGATCCAATCCGCTGCGCGATGAAGACGATCGATCTTGAGACCCAACCTGAGTACGAAGCGCTCTCGTACGCGTGGGGCGACCCGCTCGTCTTCTATCGCGACAAAGACGACATCGTCCCGACGGAGGACTGGTACAAGCCGACATACGAGATTATATGTGACGGGCAATCCGTGTCGGTGACAGCCAACCTTTTCGCCGCGCTGCTTGCCAGGCGACGCATGGCCAGCAAGCTCGCAGGGCGCGACGGCAAGCTCTTGGCCGCCCAGATGCAGGACATGGGTTATGTGCCGCAGGATTACGTCTGGATTGATGCGATATGCATCAATCAATCCGACCTCGAGGAGCGGGAAGCCCAGGTTGCTATCATGGATCTCATTTACTCACAGGCTGTGGTCGTCGTGGCTTGGCTTGGGGGCGAGGACGAGGCATCCCTAGACACTCACTCCATCCGGTCGTACCTCAACAGCTGTCCGCGGCTATCTTCAACACCAGCAGCAGTTGAGGGGCATGGACCTCTCAGATCCAAGGGTGTACCAGTTGCTAAATACCCCCTATATCCGGACCGATGAGTGGGTGAGCCTATGGGCCTTCTTCAACAGATCCTGGTTCCGACGAGCCTGGGTGGTGCAGGAGATGGGCCTTGCCAAGAAAGCCGTCATGTCTGTCGGTCTCAAAACCTTTCTTTTTGACGACCCATTAGGAATCCACATGATGCTGAGGGACACGCGACTGGTCCACCAGGTCCGAAATATCGGCGAGAAGGTCGTCGATGAGTGTGAGAAGTGGGGCATTGGGCCTCTACCGTTGAAGCCTCTCTACCGCAGCCAGCCGGCAATGAGGTGGGACCACAACCATTTCCTCACTATTGGTGAGGTTCGCTCTGGTTTTGGCATCGAAGGTACACACTACCGCCGTAATCCCACTGCTAAGCCGTATCCACTTCGCGTTCTCTTGACAAGCTTCCGGAGCACCGAGGCAAAGGACCCCCGAGACAAGATTTACGCCTTTCTCGGCATCAGCAGGGAGCATTCCGTTCTCTCCTCGACAGCGCTCCCCAACCACAGCACCGCACTGAGGCCTAGCTACCAAAAGCCTGCCCTTCAGGTGTTTCTCGACGCGATGCGCTTCGACATTGAAACCAACACGACGCTCGACATGCTCTCCCTCGTCCAGTCCTCCCAGTATCGCCGAATAGCCAGCCTCCCTTCCTGGCTCCCCGATTTCAGTGCCCCGTCCTATCCCAACTCCCTTTTGTTTGGTTTCCCCGACCTCATACCTCCCTGGGATGCCTCCCTCGGCCTCGGCAGCGCAAAAGCCACATTTCCCGAACCCCTCAGCACAACCCTCCTCACCACCGGCCTCAAAGTCGCCACCGTCGTCGAAACAGCTTGCTACCACGGCGTCATCATCCCCCTGGACAGCCCTCTCGCCTCCCTCCTCAACGCCCTTCCGGCCACACAACCTATCGCCTCCCCACCCAACACTTCCCGTCTTCGCACTTACATCCTTGAAGGCCACCCCACCAGCTACGACCCCTCCACTCAACGTGCGCAACGCGTTGCCGATCTCCCGCCCGAAGGAGACCCACCCACCATCTCCCACCAAACAAGAGCCGAAGTTTACTGGCGGACCCTTTTGTGCGACTGCATCTGGGGGCACTGCCCCGCCCCTAAGAAAGAATGCTCGGCTGCCCTTAGTTACCGCGTCAAGAAAACTGCCAATACCCTCGGTGCGAGCGTTGGTGTTAGCGAGGAGACCAAGAGGTGGTCTGAGGAGATGAGGTTTAGGATGGATGTGAACAGTTATATGAGGAAGATGTTTCGTACGGACGAGAACACGTTAGGGAATGGGTTTGAGGATGTGGAGAAGGGGGATGAGGTGTGGATTTTGGCGGGTGCGTCGATGCCGTTTGTGTTGAGGAGGGTGGAGGATGGGAGATATAATGTTGTTGGGGAGGCGTATGTTCATGGTATCATGCACGGTGAAGGGATAAGGGGGAGAAAAAGGGAAGTTGTTACGTTGGTTTGATGCTCAGGGGATTTGGGACTTGGATATTGCTGTTGGGTGACGACCTCGTTCACCCCGACTATTTCCTGTCTCGACCAGAGGAAAACCTCCCACCTTCTCTTCCCTCCCAAGTATTCCAATACGTTGCAAACATGACCAAGTCCCTCCATACATCCCCAGATGCCGTCCCAGGCGGCACCTCCGACCTCCCATTCCCCACCTTCCCCCTTTTCTTCCCATCCTTTAAACACCTCTCATACTTCACGACACCAATCTCCTCAAATCCCAGCCGTCGCGCAACAGCAATTGATCCCTCGTTTGCGGTGTCGGCGTGCCATTCTACTCTCACCAGCCCCAGTCCACCCTGTGTGACAGGGTTGAGCGCATAGTCCCTCAGCAAACGTGCCGCGTCCACGGCAAAACCGCGACGGCGGAATTTTGGCAAAATTTGCACCAGGCTGATCTCGATGGACCGGTCTTCCGAGTTGGCGTTGTAATAGGCCATGGTGCCCACCATTTCTTCTTCCTCTCCGACTATTGCGTCTCCCGCCGCTGCGCCTTTGTCTGTCTTCACTTCACCGGAGTCCTCGTGAGGGCTACAAAGTAGTATGGCAAAGGCGAATGCAGACGCATCATCCTCTAGCGTCTGAACCAACTTTGTGTACTCCTCAACGGTGGTATATGGCCCGAAGGAGAGGTGTGCGTACGCATGGGGGTCGTCGCGTGTGTGGTCGAAGACGGTTTGTGCGTGCTTTGCGATCTGTTGATTATGTTCAGTTGCTGTCACTGGTTCTCCGTTCTTCTTCCCAGCCACGCAAGAGCGGGTGGCAATTTTAGATGAGAGACTGCGCGTTCCACACGGTTCATTCTGTGCGACGTGGGAAAAGGGGCAAAAAAGGGGGCGGCTCACACTAAACGGAACGAGCTTGATCCGGCCATCTTCCAGGCACCGGACTGGAAAGCAAAAGTTGGTGCCATTTTTTATTTCGCTGGTGTCATCCATTGTTGGCGGGCTGGTGCTGTCCACGATGTGGGACTCAGGGCGCCGGGAGTTGAGTTGTCTTTAGGGTCTCAAGTCAGCAAGCGATTGTGGGCCACAACTTGGGCAGTCTGTCAGCCCCTTGGGCTTTATACCCCTTGAAAACCAGATGAAATACTGCCTTATTAATCACAACTCCATTAGCCCCGGGGCTGCAGCGAATTTACGAAGCAAAAATGATTCACAATGAATTCATATAGGCGCGGTGATCTGGCAGCCGTTCGAGCACCTACCGCATTAGGCGTACCCGATTCGGGATGACTCATGCCGACCG